GAAGGTAGCTATTAATGACCATCGATGCATTTTTTACATCATCGGTATATCTGCCAGCTATCTTAGTTACGTTAAGTTATAGAGTCAGTGATCTTCAAGTCACATGATAAATACTGTAATGTGCGCGTTCTCGCGATTTTCTATATTTCTCGTAATCATGTCTACTGAAAAAAAAATTACGTCGTGGAGTGCATACTTTGATGTAACATCGCCAGAAAAATATAGCTTCCTAGGTTATTATGAATACCGGTCAAAACAAGAAGACTTTATTTCTTTCAGAAAGGAGTGTCACAGATTGAAAACAGATCTCGCTAACCTAATGAAGAATAGCTCGGGTGAAATGAAGGAGGTCGCCAGTCGGCTGGAAAAAAGTCGTAAGGTTCTATCGTTGTTTTTTTGCATTGTTAGTTGGAACTAGGGAGGCTGAACAGATTTTAAGGGCTACTCCTCGCGCTGGCCCTCTATTATCTTGTCAATAGTACTGCATGTTGGGTTGTAATAATGCTTCTTGCAGGAAGGAATCTACACAACTAAGGGTGACACTTTCGCGCTGTCCACCTTATCGTCTTCGTGCCTGTTGTGTTTTCCTCTAACAATGCTTTCCCAATTATTATGAAACGGATCACTAATTCTTTGTAAGCTTATAGGGACATCGTAAATATTATAAAGACGTTGACATGTTCTGGAATCAAATTGAGAGACGCCAAGCTGAGGTTTTTATTTAATAAATCTTCTGCTATATAAACAAACTTCTGCTCATTAATTTTTTCAATTAGGCCGAGGCCTCTAGCTCAGTTATACGAGATACTACTGAAGCATTCAAAAATTCCATTGCAAGTGTCAATTCCTCCATCATGAACGTTAATAACACAATGGTATGGGGTGGAAGTTATTATTTTTTTTGTTTCATATGTTTAGATTATATATATTGACACATTTTGTCAGATCAAATATAATGAAGAACTTAAGGGTGATAAGAGTGCCTTAGGAAAAAGACGAAATTCCGAAGATTATGAGGAAAATCGAATTTC